CAAAATTGATAACTCTTCTTTGCATGTTTAAAATTTGTGTGTATGTTTAAAACATAAATTTTAAAATACGTTTTAAAGTTGGTTTTCGACCCGACGAATACCTGTTTAGGCTAGGAAATAACCCTCTAAGTGAGGTTCAAGACACACTTCTAGACGAGTGGCGGGTTCTATACATTCGGGTGACCAAGTAGCCTTCGTGGACCCTTGAGAATAAATATACAACTGAGTCTAGTCCCATACGAGACAGGACACTCGTGTTACTTTTCTTTTCTTTCGGGATTTCCCCAGGAGTTTTGAGGATTTTCTTTTACTTGAGTCTTTTTCGTTGATTTTCTCGAGTTTTTCCGCTTTTTCTCGGATTTCTTGGATGACGTTTTCTTCCGGACTTTGCTTTTTGAGACGCATTTAGGTTTGTTATACTTAAGGAACATCGGATCTCACGGGCGTACATGTTTGCTTTACATTTTACAGCACTTAATTTTCCCGTTTTTACCTGCTGTTGTTCTTCCTGTATAGCATGTTATCTTGTGGACTGCATGTACTGCCGTTGTGCCACCTTTGAGCACTGCAACGCTCCCTCTAAGTGCCCCCACATTCGGATGAGAGCACCACAACGCTATCCTATTTGCATACATGTCTTTCCCATATGACAGGCTATACAAACGCCGCAACGCCTTATAGCTAGCGCCACAATGTTAAGTCCCTTGATTCAAGTGGTTTTACCTTGTCCATTCATTTCGTATCCTAGGAGCGCCGCAACACCCACACATCAACACTGCAATGCTATGACCTCATCACTGGTGGTCAACCTGATTTTTTGCATGCAACATCAATGTTAGTAAAGGTGTTGAAACCCATATTTGACTCTTTAACTGACCAGCTCTGTAGCGCTCACACCTAACATCTTAGCGCCTCAACGCTTGTGGTGTTGCCTCTTTTTCTATAAATATTGCCCCTCTTGCTCATTTTCTCTTGAAGTTTTTGTAGCCGAGTGGTGATAGAGGAGGCTTAACAAGGTTTTCGAGGTTCTATTCTTTCCTTTCCCCTTTCCTTCTTTGAGTTTCTATGAACCTTCTTCTTCTCTAGATGTCATGGCTCCTAAAATTAAGGGTCTTAAACGTCCAACTTCTTACAATGTTAGGAAATTTGTTAGCGTTGGCTGCAACTCGGTGAAATGACTTTCTAGTATCTAAAAGTTAATTCAGGAGTGATGTTTTTTTTAATCCAGGGGGAAGAGTTGACAGATTAATTGCTATAAGAAAATGAGAAAAAATGTGTTATTAAACTGGGTCTATTATAGTTCTTGTTTTCGGAGAATTCTTTGCCAATACAAAAGAGCAAAAGGATGCTAAGGTTTTTGTGAGTGACAAGCAAGTTCATTTTTGGTCTTTTTCCATTTTAATTATCGATATGAATAATTTAGTTAAAAGTTAGTGTCTTTTGAATTATATTATTTTGAATAATAGTTAAGAAATAATCGAGTATTTCAGTTAGGAAAGAGTTGACATTCAAAACTATTAAATAAGCTTAATAAAATATAATAATGCTCAATGAAAATAAAGTAGTAATATAAAAAAGAAAAGAAAAGAAAATAGAAGGTTTAAAGTTTTAAAAATAGAAATTCAAGAGTCTAGGAAGAGAAGCTTGAGGTTAAGCTTATACATAAAAAATTAGTATCAACCATTTTTTTTTAAAATTTTTAAAAGTCAAAAGCTTCCTTAATTGAACTTTAGAATATTATATTCAAAAAGAAGATAACTAAATTAAGATTTTTTGATTGATAAGTATAATTATATTTGAGAATTAATGATATTTTAGTCAGGAATATATAAGTGATTTAAGAATAATTATGTCAAAAAAATATTAATGTAAGGAATGTTAGGATATTATTTATTAACAATAATTCAATCCTGTAATAATATTTGTGTATTTTGATTATATAAGAAATGTCTGGATATTATTTATTAATAATAATTCAATCCTGTAATAATATTTTTGTACTTTGATCAATATTCTTATTATTCTATTAAAGAATAAGGTAATCATAAGGCAAGAGCTATAATGAAAATTTCTAAAGTTTGAATTTAGATATTGAATTATTTGAGGGTAACTAATATTTAAGTTTGGAGGAATTTAATGTGTGTAAAATGTGATGTGGTATTATAGTGTGCTTTGAACACTATTTGTGTCATTTTTATGCTTTTTGTGAGTATGTGTTTCATATTTGTGCAATATACAGGAACAAATGTAATACTTGGAAGAAATGAAGCCAATGACTAGTGTCTTGATGCCAGAAGGCAAGTGCTGCAGCCCCATACCTAGGGCACCTCAACAACCAAAACAGGTAAATTACAACCAAAATTCGGAGAGCATGACTCTGGAAGCTAGAGGCCAAGTGCCCCAGTGCCAGAGACCAACAACACCATGCCCACAGAAGTCGTGCCATTGTGTTGAAGTGCTAAATTGATGAATTGGAGTTACGAAATGCAACACTCAAACCTAGCACCGCTGTGGCCAACACTAGCGTCCCAGCTCCACACCCTTAGCGTCCCAACAGTCCACATCGACATAGGGTGGTTTCTACTGTTTGATAACGGTTCCGTCGAAGGAAATGCATAAAAACTTCAAATTTACATAGAGAAGACTCTCTTGGACACTCTTGGAATGTAGGGGAAGGCTCTGAACATTGGGAAGTCCTCTAGAAGCCACATTTAGTGTAGAATTGATGTAAAAGTGGTAGGGAGTGATTGTGAGTGAAAGTTTTCACTTATTTGTGTGTGATTGTAATCAAGCAAGAAAGAAATTTCTAGTGGCAATCAAATTTTGCGAACAAAGATTTCTTTCTATCTAGTTTTTCATTCATTTAACTCTTGTACCTTGATTTTTTTTATTAAATGCAAGTCGTATTTTCTTTTAAAATTATTTGTAGCACTTACAATATCTCTTCTTGGATTGAAATTCTTTAAAAACTAGGAAAGTCTATGGTGGAATTTTGGACTGTTAAATGATGAAGTTGTTGTTTTAACCTTCAAACAAGCCATTTTGATAGTTAAAACAAGTTATAATATTGGACAGCCTAAAAAAGACTAGAAAGATAACTATGTTAATTCATAAAAGTTTAGTGGAATAAAAATATTTACAATAGATCATTGTAATCTTTATTGAGGAATGTAAATGCCAGAAAATTCTTACAGGGTTAGGGGAATCAAATTATAATATTTGATTCCTATGCTTGTTGTATCTCCGAAGAAAGTAGTAAGTAATGGACCCTAATTGGCAATCACAGGAAGGAACTTAGATTTCATGAATTTAATTTAAATGAGACTTTCAAACCATTCGGAAGACCCTTCTCACTTAATTTAGATTGTCACTTAAAAATTATGATTTTTGGACCCTTTTAAAACTAAAAAACTTACAATATTTTGAACTAAAACTTAGGATTAGTAAACTGTTAATTAAACTCTTGTGAAAGATAACTCGCTCCTCGTGGGATCAATAACTCAGACTCATAGTGCAGATACTACTTTGTGGACATGTATATTTGTATGATTAACGTGTGCATCACTGCACTATGAATCACCCACAAAAGTTTAACCATTAAATTGAAAGTATATTTTATTTAATTTGGAAGAAGAAATGTTCTTATAAAGATTAAGGTGATTCTAGGTGAGAGTTTGACTAGCTGACATCATATAATTAGTTTTGGATGCTTATATTAAGATTTTAAAGAAATCATAAAAAATAATTGGCTTAAGATAAGTTGGTGGAATTTAAGAGGTGATAAATTATTATAAGGGAAACAGGCAAAAGAAATTTTTATTTGAGCCAAAACTAATACGTGATAAGATGGATTTTTCTTTGAAGTTTTAAGAGAGCTTAAAAATAAATTTTATGCTAATAAGGAGATTTGGTGGTATAGTGAGGAGATACAAAAAATATTAAGAAGTAATGTTCCTTTAATTAGTGGTAAAGAATGAATACTAATAAGGTTTTTAATGATTATATAATTCTTTCAAGTCCTACAATAATATATTGAGTAAAGATAAGCTATTATTTTTTATGATTTAGAGAGTAGATTAGGTACCAAGGATGTAATGAATTGTAGAATCACTAAGACTAGTGATAAGTGATAAGAGTCTAGAGCCTTTGATCTAATTAGATGCTTTAGAAGCAATGATAATATAAATTGGCTAACCATGGAAACATCTACGAATGATAAAAATTTTATTTTGAGAAATTACTTAATGGAAATTTTGAGAAAATAATATTTTTTGAAAATGCATGATGACAAAACATTGAGCTATATTATAGGAAGATCTAAAGAAAAATGAAATGAAAATATGGATCTAAAAATATGGATAAAGGTGAAGCTTTACATCAAGAAAAGATTCTTTTTGAGGGTATATTGTTATGGTCCGGTTTAAAAAATTCTGATGGAAGCCATATAATTGGAAAAAATATTTTAATACTAAATAATGTACTAACTATAAATGAATTGCAATTATTAATCATACAATAAAGCTATAGAAGAGGGTAACATAACCTAGAGTTAGAGATATTATGCCAGTTTTTGGAGAATTACGCTTTGGTTTTTTGTTTGGAAGATCTACGATTTAGTTGATTTTTATGTTGACGATCAATAGATAAGCACATAGAGTAGAGAGGGTAAATTTAATTAATTTTATGGACATTAAGTAGGCACGTGGTAGAGTAACATGACTATTGAATTGGTGAGCATTAATGCAAAAATTTGTATCAAAGGTATGTTGAAATTATTAAAGATATATTTCTTGGAGGTGGTTGTGGACTAATCTAATAGTTTTCAATTATATCTGTGTGAATTTTCAAAAAACAGTTGCTGGAGTTCATCCACATTAGAGAGACTAATCAAGAGAGATATTTCAAGTTCAGGAGAGTTAAGTTGGCTAGGAATCATCAAGATCAACTATAGAATGGTGTCACTAGTATTTAGAGTAGTTTTGTTCCATAGACATATATACGTGCGCTTACTATGATGAGAAATGCTAAATGAGCTAGCTCTCTATTTTATTTCTATTATGGATATTATTTCCATAAGAAATATCATTGTCTAAGTACAACGGTTGAATTCAAACCTCTTAAACTCTGTTTAATACAACCTATAATGTTGTTGAATCCTTTGGAATATCCCACATTCTTCCTTTCGAACTGGAATTGCCAATTCATATAGAAGTTTTTTCATAAATCAAGAACATGATTTCTTTTTGACCAAATAACTTTATAAATATGTAGAGTCATTCGGAATCCCCATTAAACGGAAAAGATTGATATACTTACTGATTTACATTGGTTTTTTGTAGTTGAACTAACTGAGTGTAAATGCCATCCGGCTGTCTGAGAAGTTCTTCATGGCTGCCAATTTCATGAACCATACCTTCCTGAAGCACTGCAATAATATTGGCATCACGAATTGTTGATAATCTATGGGCGACTACAATTGTTGTTCTACCTTCCATGAGTCTATCTAGAGCCTCTTGTACCACCTTTTCTGATGCTGTATCCAATGCACTGGTGGCTTCATCCAGAAGGAGAATTGTAGGGTCTTTTAGAATTGCTCGGGCAATAGCGACCCTTTGTTTCTGCCCTCCAGAGAGTTGGGTGCCTCTTTCTCCAACCTGGGTGGTATAACCTTCTGGCATCCGACTAATAAATGCATCCACATTTGCAGCTTTTGCAGCTTTCAGTACTTCAATTTCTGATGCACCTGACTTTCCATAAGCAATATTTTCATAGATGGTGGTGGAGAACAGTGCTGGCTCCTGCTG